TAGCGAAGCATTATGAATAACAAAAAACCTATTTATAAAAAAAACGTAAAATACCTAAAAGGAATTAAATTTCCTTTTATATATTTTTTAAAAGCAAATCCAAAATATCTAAAAGGAATAAATACTCCTTTTAAATATTTTTTAAAATCAAAACAACAAAACCAATTCAAGACACAACATGAATCCGAAAACGATAGCCGAAAAAAATCGAATCAACTTAAACCAAATCGCAGAAAACCGAAATCGAAAGCAGTAGTCAATATAAATATAACCAACGCAAAAAGAAGTAAGTGTATAGGTACCGTATACACTATCTATACTATTAATATTCCTTTGAAATATTGTTAAACAACCTAAAACAACGAAAACCAATTCACGATTCTAAATAAACAAAATCCAAAATCAAAGCCAGAGTCTAAATATGTATAAAGGAATACCAACCAAATCAACAAAACCGATCCAAGAAAATACACAAATCCGAAAATGAAAGCCAATATAAATCCATTCAACCTTAACCAAATCACAAAGCAAATACAAACAACCGAAATCGAAAGCAGGTAGTCGAATAAGCTACGAAATAGAAACAATTTAAGCGTATAGGTACCGTATGCACTATAAGTTGACGCGCGGCTCAACGGCGGGAGTTAAATATATGTCGGGAAACATTTCGTTACCGCGTTTTGAAAATCTAGTAACGACATCTAGCGGAATCAATTTAAACTATGTATACGTTAGTTAATTAGAACTCTCAAAAATATTTTTCTTATAATTTTGCACAATTTTTCTTATTGCAATACCGATTCATACATAATCACATATAAATACTATATTCATTTCCGTTCAATAAATATTACTAAGGCTTATTAATAAGCCCTACTAAGAACTGTTTCTACCACAGTTAAGTAATAGTGTTACGAGCTTGAGGTTCTTGACAATAAAAACTGCCGATTGAATTACCGAAATTAACACTTTAATTCACTTTACACTAATTAAAATTTAAAACACTGATAATTAATCACACTAATTCACTATATTCCGCTCCGAAGCTTCGCTTGTCTCGCCAAATTCAATACCTCCCCGATTGCACCTTGCAGCGCCTATAAATACAAATTCACCGAACACCAACATTCAAGTAAATTTGAAGCGACAAGCCTAATGCAGGGCGCGGATCGCGAACTCAAAAGGTCGTGGGTTCGAATCCGCCATTTGACTACTGTCGTGAACCACGCCTAACACAAGCATTTTTAAGCTTACCAGTAGTGGTTAAAAGGAATATTAGTAATGTTAATTAATAAGATTACATCGAAAGTTCGAGTGTCGGCTTCTAGAAGCTTAGTTCTTCGTTTCGACACTAGATTGCGCTGTCGGTTAAAAGATTAGTGATGTCATTTTCTGGAAAGTTCCCCCCGCTCTCGTCCCTGACACTACATGACGTCAACTTAGGCGCGCAACACTGCCCCCTCCTAAGACATGCTCGTCCCGAGCATTATCGGCCCCATAATAACGCGCCAAGCGATCGACATGGACGATCTTAGGAGTCCCTCTTGCGCCTTTCTGTATCCGGTAGGTTACATCGTTGACGCTGGTTACAATCCGGTACGGGCCGTCCCATTTAGCTTGAAGCTTAGGAGATTTCCCTTTGCTGCGGACTGGATTGTGCAACCACACTAGTGAACCTTCGTCGAACCCTTTATTGTTCATTTTGCGGTCATACCGGGTTTTCATCTTCTCAGACATTTGCTGGCCCGATTGTCTGACGTGCTCATAAATGTCATTCATTTTATTCCGCAAGTTATTTGCATAATCGGTTATACTGCGTGGGGCATCAGGTGGTATCCCGGTGATCAGGTCTGCAGGCAGCCGTAATTCTCTTCCAAAGTTTGCGAAAGCTGGTATCACTGCTGTGCTTCCGTGAACAGCGCATCGATATGACAACAAAAATGGTTGTATGTGCTTGTCCCAATCTTGTTGCCGATTGTCTACAACTTATGCTAGGTACCTCTCCAATGTCTGAAAAAATCGTTCTACCATTCCATCAGATTGCGGGTGATAAAAAGTCGTTCTTGTTTTATGAGTACCCATAACTCGGCAAGTTTCCTGGAATATATGAGCCTCAAAATTCCTTCCTTGGTCGCTGTGAATCTGTAAAGGTACTCCAAAACGACAGAAGACTTCATGAACTAGTTTATCTGCAACTGTTGAAGCTTCTTGATTTGGAATGGCGAAGACTTCTTGCCACTTAGTGAAGTAATCCATCAAAATCCATGAAATACTTGTTACCGCTTTAACTCTCCGGAAACGGCCCCGCCACGTCAATGGCTATTCTCTCCCATGGTGCACCAACATTGTACAACTTCAATGCACCTCTACTACGAGTCTGAGGTCCCTTTACAGCCGCGCAACTTGTATATTTGCGACACCAGTCCTCGACATCGTTTCGACAGTGGACCCAGTAAAACCGTTCTCGGATCTTCAGTAGAGTTCGCTTAACTCCCAGATGGCCTCCTGAATAATCATTATGGTACAGCTGTAGAACATCCGGTACTTTAGCTTTAGGTACAACCATTTGCAAATGACAGCTATCTCCCCGAACATTTTCCCATTTACGGCACAGAACTCCATCCTGAAGCAGCAAGCTGTCCCACTGGGCACAATAGCTTTTAGTGGTCGAACTCATCGCTGAGACGTTGCTCCACTTGGGCTTGGGAGCACTGGCCTTCATCCATTTCAGAATCGGCTTGATGTCCGGATCTTCCTGCTGTGCACGTTGTACGCTGTCCTTCCACTCGTTGCTGAGGTGATCTGCCCTGAGATTCCTCACGGATACCACTTCCTTACTCTCTTGCCTAGTACTGTTCTCGCAATCATCAGGATGAGGTCTTCTTGACAATGCATCTGCGTTGCTATGAGATTTCCCGCTGCGATGTTCGATCTCAAAGTCGTATTCCTGCAGTAGTTCAATCCACCTCGCAACTTGCCCTTCTGGAAACTTCAATAGCCATTTTAGTGCAGCATGGTCAGTACGTAAGTGAAATTTTCGCCACAGAAGATATTTGCTAAAATGCTGCAACGACTTTACCACAGCTAGCACTTCGCGTCTTGTGACACAATAGTTCCTTTCCGGTTTTGACAACGACTTGATAAAGTAAGCTATCATGACCTTTTGGTCACCATTCCGTTGAGACAACACACCGCCAAGTCATATATCACTTGCGTCCGTGTCAACTATAAATTCTTTGCTTGCATCAGGGTATCCCAAAATAGGTGTTTTGCACAGACGGTCCTTGAGCTCCTGGAATGCGATATTGCAACTTTCATCCCAGCAGAAATGTCGCTTCTCCTCGGTTAGCTTATGCAGAGGTTTGGCTATATTTGCATATATCTTCACAAATCGCCGGTAATAGGAGCAAAAACCCAAAAATGCTCTAACCTGCGTCTTGTCTTTGGAACCGGCCAATCTTTGACAGCTGCGATTTTCTCTGGATCCTTGCGGATACCTTCTTCCGATAGTCCATACCCCAAAAAGTTAACTTGCCGTTTGAATAGTGAACATTTCTTCGGACTCAACTTGAGGTTGGCACTCTGAATCTTCAGGAGCACGCGTTCCAGGTTTTGAAGGTGTTCCTCAAACGTATGGCCCACGATGATGATGTCATCCAAGTAGACCAGACAGGCATCGCCAATTAGCCCAGTAAGTGCAAGCTCCATCAGCCTTTCAAACGTTGCTGGAGCATTGCACAACCCAAACGGCATTACTTTGAATTGCCACAGACCCTTTCCCGTCGAGAACGCAGTTTTCTCCTTGTCCTTAGGGTCAATTTTTACTTGCCAGTAGCCACTTTTTACATCCAGCGTGCTAAACCACTTTACTCCTGTAAGCATGTCCAGCGTGTCATCAATTCTTGGCAAGGGATAGATGTCCTTCTTCGTAACGTCGTTCAGACGGCGGTAGTCAACACAAAACCGCATGCTGCCATCCTTCTTCTTTACCAGCACCACGGGTGAACACCATGGACTAGAGGGAGGTTCAATAACACCGTCCTTCACCATTCCTTCAATCATGGTTTCTACTTCATTTTCACGTGCTACCGGCAATCTTCTTGGGCGCTAACGGATAGGCAATTCTTCTCCTGTGTCTATTTTGTGTTGAACTAATCCAGTCTTTTCTATGTCAGCATCGTTTGATGAGTATTCTCATCAAACGATGCTGATATATAAGAAGTTGTTACTCAAACACGCTGATGTATTCATCGGCGTGTTTGAGTAACAACTTCTTTGCCTTGACCATTTCGTTAGGGGAGAGAACGCTGCGACAGTATTCTAAAAGTGTGTTCACTCTCGTTTGTGCATCCTTGCGGGGGGTCCCAGTCGATAGATATTGGCACCGACGTAGCCAATCCACTTCTTCACAAGTACCAACCAGTGTGCCTTTTTCTATAATCTGTTCCTGGTCACAAAGGTTCAGCACACGTACTCGAGATGTCAGTGGTTCTGACCAAGGTTCAAGCTACTTTCCATGGAAGGTCATTGTTTACCCTTTCCACAAATACACAACGGTGGGCTTGCCCAGCGTTTCGAGGAAGACTAACCGGCACAATCGTTTCCAATCTCGGCGGAAGAACAATCTTCTTAATGCTGTACACGTTCCCTGGTAACGCACCTTCCATAAAAGGTTCCTCCTGTCCACATTTCAAAACACCTTGCTTAACGTCGATCTCACAACAATTATCCCTCAAAGTCTGGGCCCAGGATGCAGTCGTCCATTATATCAGCTACGATGACATTATGCAGGTAGATCACGTTGCCTAGCTTCAACTCCATCTCCTTCTCTCCACGGACGGGTATACGCTGACCGGTGGCTGTTACCAAATTAATGCGTTCTCGGTTGTATGCGGAGTCCCCAAGTGACTGACTTATAAGTTGGGAACTAACAACCGTACGATAGGCTCCAGTGTCTATGGTCAGTTTACACGGCATTCCGTTGATCTCGCCCTTGATGATTAGACTGTTCCCATCATGGGTTTGTGAGATCGAGATCCTTGGGACTCTTTTAACATCTTGAGACAGCGGAGCACGTGTGCAGCGCCATCTCTCGCGCCGATCGTCACCTCCCCGCTCTCTGAGTCTTCCGGGAGACACAGGCGCGGCTGGAACTTGTGCTCGAGCTGGAGGTACTCGTTGAGCGTCGCGTACAGCTGCTGCACCTCGCCGTCGTCGTGCTGCGGCGCCGTGGAGGAGCTCGGCCGGTGCTCGTCAGCATCCGGGTGCCTCGCGCCCGCTCTCGACATGGTCGGGCTGGGCGTTTCGAGCGGCGGGTGAATCGGCACCGAAGCGTGCGCTGGAGCAAAGCAGTGGCCGACAGGTCCTCTTGGATTGCTCGCGCCGATCCCCCCTCTGCTCGACCCGACGGTCCGAGCGACCGGGCGACGAATATTAAAGTATGGATAGTATGGATTAATAGTTTTAATATATTTGTCCCATCATATTTTGTTAGATTATTTGTGTTTTTTTATAATTATAATTTGAAAAAAAAATGTAATAAATGAGTCCTGGATACTTGAAATTATAAATAATAAAAATAATAAAAATTACAACCTCACACCAAAATAGACTCACGGCCATAAATAGAGTATTACAAACTATTTCATAAACGACAAGAAGACTGCCTATGAGATTTCACGCACTGTTATAAGGAAGATTAAGAAATATACAAATCTCCTCACGTTTTTTTCTACTTTCAGTACCTATAAACATAACATTTACATGCACTCTGTCACCCAGAGGTTTAGACAGAGACTACGCATTTTCATGTGGCACTATCCTGACACAAATCTATTTCATTCTTCATCCATATACCTACGGACACACACACACAGTTACTCTTAATTTGGGCTATCTTCAATATATCACAAATTTGATCTATTAACTTTTGTCTAGGGCGTCCCTTGTCGACCCTGTCGTTCACTTCTGCAACATAAATTTGGTTTGTCTTTCTTTTTTCATTCATTCTTTCTACATGACCAAACCACCGAAGCATTTCTTTCTTAATCCTGGTCACAACATCATCTTGTAAACCGAACTTTTCTTTTAACACACAATTGCTTATTCCATCATACAGATTCGTTCCTAACATACTCTTTATTACCGTATTTCTTGAGCATACTTTCGCGCTTTTTCTGACGTACTCAACTTTAACTACCATACATTAAAACTTTTAGTATAAGGTAAGCATTATAATTAACAATGTCTGTTGCGTACTGTGTAATCTAATGCAATGTCAGACTATCAAACTATCTTGTTATTTTAGCTGTTATTAATTGTGTTATAAATGAATAAATAAGGTTATGGAACTCGCTACCGTCTAATATAAGAAATTTCGAAACTGTATTGCTATTTAAGAAACGTGTCAGAGATAACTTCTTTGCATCCTGTTAAGTAATATATATTATTTTATTATATTAGTATTAGTTTATGTATATTACATGTAACTATAGTATTTATTATTTTTACGTATTGATTTTTTTTATTTATTGTATTATTTAATATAATTTACGTAATATTTTGTATATTATTTATTAATTAGTAGTAGTAATGTATACACTAAGTGTGGCATTTTAATATATTTTCCTAATTTGGTCTACTGGAAGATATTTCAGCAAATTATGAAATAAGTAGAACTTTTGTACGAAATGTGTACATAAATAAATTTAAATAAAAAAGTTGACTTGCAAAAGTCAAACTAGTTGGAACATTCCTAAAAAGTAGACTAAAAGAGAATAAGCAATGACCTCTCAAAAATTTTTGATCTCAAATATACCCGAAGAATAATATTATTAGGTTTAGGCTTAAAGACTTTATTATCTCAAAAAAGAACAAAAACTTGCTTTTAAGAGACTCAAAAATAACATAATTGGTAAAAATAATACATTTGAATACCGTGACTTATATGAATAAAATTATAGTAACCGGTTTTTGAAATTACATTAAGATACAAATTACATACTGAAGAATAATATTTTTGACCTTATTGATATAATAGAAAAAACTCAACTGGTTATTTGAATAAAAAATCACGAATGCAATTAGTTTAGTTAAAATTTTCGTATTTTTAAAAAATAAAAAAAGAGTGCTAGAAATAATAGATTTCCATATAATAGATTGAATAATAGATTGAAAAAAAAGGAAAAAAAATCGCACCGAAGTCAGGACGCGAACCAAAACATTACGATTTCGCGACCGCTCGATATCCACTTGAGCTATTACGATCATTAACACAGTGTCAAAATTTACCTTCTTATATTGTAGCAGTTTTTCATTGCCTGAAAACACGGACAAAAATACATTTTCTAAAAATAAATCCTAGCTAGATCGATTTATTGCCCCCGAAACTCCCTGCACACAAAATTTTATAAAAATCGTAGGAGCCGTTTCCGAGATTCCGATTATATTATTATATATATATATATATATATATATATATATTGTTAAATAAATAAAAAATATATAAAAAAAAATATATAATATATATAAAAAAAAAAAACTTTTATTAATTTGATATATTATCCTATAACTAAACGAGCAATCTTATATATATATATATATATATATATATATATATATATATATATAAGAAGTGCTCGTTTAAAGTTATAGGATAATATATCCAAATTAGGATTAAAAGAGCACTGTCTTTAAATTAATGTTTGACAGTGCTTTTTTAATTAATCTTTAAATTTTGAAAACGATTTTTCATGAAATACCTCATTCGGTAGGCTATTGTACAATAGCGCCCAAATAACAATAAGCGCGCAAATAATCCCTCAAACTGAATAGTTTTCGAACCATAAGTTTTAGTCCTAGCTTTTGGTAATTGCAGTTTATGTTTGTTTCGTGTACAGTGTTTATGTGATTTAGTTTTAAACTAATTTGGGTGTGTATGGAATCTAAGAGAATTTTTTCTGACTAGTATGCACGTTTTTTTTTTTTGTATAATTGACTTGTGGATAATGTATCAGTTTTTTTATAGAGCTCTTTGGTAGGAAAGCGGTAGTCAAGTTGGAATAAAATTTTTAACAATATGTTCTGGGATATTTGAAGATTAAATATTCTAGTAATGACTTAACTAGTGAATTATAAATAATATTTAGAACTTTATAAGGTATACAACGTGTAGTTCTGCGCAAAGCATCTGTCAATGATGTTATTTTTGTCTGCAAGTGATCCAAATGAGCTCGCCAGTTAATTTAGAATCTAAAACGAGACCAAGATATTTTTATGATTCTGACTTTTTAAGTTCTTGGTTATTTATTGTTGTTAATTATTCGAATATAATCGCGTGCTAAGCTTGTTTCAAAACAACAGACATTAATTTTTCTAAATCTAAAAAAACATCCGGAAGATAATATCCTGATGTTAATCGTTCATATCGTTATAATTCTATAATCTGTACACAATTATTTCGAAAGAACCGACTGCACCATCGCGATAAGATAGCTGGGACCAATAAATAGGAACTAAGAAACGGGTCAAGTATAGTCTGCAGCACGGCCCCACCATGAAACTTTCTCTGGCAGTCCTGTTCTGTTTGGTGGCGGTCTCTTTGGCCACGGAGCCTATTCTGCTCTATTATCATGAGAATGCGGGCATTCCTCTAGCGCAGCGCATCAAGCAGTCAGAACAAGCCGTCGACTTCGATGGCTCCAAGATCGTAGGGGGCTCGCAAGCGTCGCTTGGATCCTATCCATTCTTGGTGAAATTTTATTGTTTATTGATTATTATATACTCGTATGTTATGCAGTAATTTTGTCTTTTGGTAGAAGACATCATTCCATCCTGTTCTATATGTGATAAATAAGTAGACTAAGTTCATATGTGATAGAGCAAGGCTACCGATACGTTATAGTTTCAGCACGACTAGGTAGGCTCGAACGGGGAAAGACCACGCTCTCACAGAATATCAGTATAAGATAGCAGCTTAATGTTTCCGTGTTTTTATGGCGAGAGTAAAGAATCTTGGAAACGCAGCATTTCGTCGCATTAGTCGTCACGGGTGACAACGTATCTGCATTTTCATTTTTAATCGAGAATAAATTTAGAGGTCTATGGGTCACAGCATCTACTTACTATCAGGTGGACTGTGTGCTCGTTTGTTACGCTTATTCCATTAAAAAGATAAGAAAAGCCAGTGAGTTCTGTTAGTCTCTCTCATGGCGGAATTACCCGTCATCACACTTGATCATGATTGCAACGCATCTGCAATTTCCCAGGTGTTGCAGTTGTTCATGGGCGGCGGTAATCACTTACCATCAGGTGAGCGTCGCATGCTCGCTGCCCACTCTCCTATAAAAAATATGTGCCTTATTTGAAGTGAGCTGTAGATGCCTTTCTTTACTACTTCTATTAACTTTTTACTGCTTTTTTGGAATAGTGGTTAGTAACCTGATTATTGATCATAAGGTCCCGTGTTCGAATCCCATGTTGGGTCAAAATCAGTTATTGGATTTTTTTCTGTCAAGGAATTCATAGTAGCTGCCCGGAGCCAGGAAGTTACCGGTCTTTCAACCACGTGCCTCGGAAAACACGTAAAGCCTTTTGTCCTTGCATCATCATGCGCTTGATCTATCTATGGTCGTATCGGATTGCTGCCTGTTACCTATGAGAGTGAAAAATAACCGAAATTCGGTCTGAAAGAAATAATTATAACTTCTTTCGGACCCCAGAGCATTTTTTAATCCATAAAATTTTCAGGGTGGACTAGTCATAGCCCTAGCTAACGGTGGCACCTCAGTCTGCGGCTCCTCGTTGCTGTCCAACACGCGCCTGGTGACGGCGGGGCACTGCTGGTGGGACGGCCGCAATCGGGCGCGCCAGTTCACCGTGGTGCTGGGCTCCACGCGTCTCTTCTCCGGCGGCACCAGGATCACCACCAGCAACGTCCAAACCCACAGCCGCTACAACCCCTCCACATTGCACAATGACGTCGCTATAATAACCATTAGCAGAGTCAATTTCAACAGTAAGTAGCTTTTGAAAAATCAAATAGAAGTTAAGTAATTAATATTATCAGGCGTCACTTTGCGGAAATCCATTATATTAAAGATTTTAAAAATTAATAAAATAAAATGATGTATCTTACCTAGTTTCAAGAGCACCTCCCGTCCTCCCTCATTTGCGTGCACTAATCCCGTCACCACTAATCTCAGCACGACTACTCCCAACATCACTAGATTAGGACAGACATACCGCCGTCAGTAATACGACACGTGTTTCGTCTTTAAGTGAGGCATCCTCAGGTGTAGTAGACTCTGGGTGACAACCCACGCTCTAAGTACTCTTAAAGGTGCTCTTCAAACTGAGTGGGATACACAATTTTATTACAGAACGCGAATCTTAATAATTAATTTTTAATGACTTAAATTGGAAAAGTTATGTAAAGTATCCTCTTATTATATGAAGGATTTTTAATAAAGCATTTTAAGTTGTAGAACCGCGTTGCAACTATTTATTATAGTTGTAGCACAAATGGGTTGACTCGACCGGAGCAGCTCCACAATACTGTTGCTTTTCGTATGGTGAGTGTAGAGAATCGGAGACCCTTTTTACTGTGATGAGGGTGGCAACGCATCTGCATTTTGATTCTTAATCGAGCATAAATGGAGATGTCTATAGGCCACAGCATCCACTTACCAACAGGGGACGGTGTGCTAGTTTATCATCAATCTTATTCTTTATAAAGCCCTTCAAATGGCAATGCCCTAGGTTGAGGTTGAGATTGACACTTACTTACTCATTTGACACAGACTTGAAACATTTATAAGCCATACAAATGCATACTCCGTAGTTTTATTTTGTTATTTTGAGTTCTTTGAAGTTGGCTTTTATTAAACGTTTTATATCATGGTAATAAAGCATCCCATATTTACTGTCAACCCAGAGAGGGGTTGACCAGTGTGGGCCACAACAGTTACTTTCCATTTCTATGGTGGACAGTGTGCCCGTTTGTCATCCTTACTTGTATAAAAAAACCTTTCTAGTTTTACGACTATTTATTTATTTGCAGGAAACATCGCACCCGTCGCTTTGCCCTCCGGGTCCTTACTGAACAACAACTTTGTGGGGAGTTGGGCACAGGCGACCGGCTTCGGCAAAACGAGCGACGGTTTGTATTCTTCTTCTCCTTTACCATCCTCTTTAATGTCCTTATCTTCTTTATCAGTTTTGGAGGCTTGGGCAGAGGAGGTGAGTGAAACTCGAGGCAGCAGATTATTATTATTAGACAGAATAAGTGGTATCTTGAATATGTTGTCCCTTTCGCACATTGTACACCACACGTACTTTTCGACTGCGCTGATTCGCGGCAAGGTTCCTTCCCTCTAGTGGGGGAGAGTCCGAATGACTGTTACTGATTTTTGCTGTCACTATGGTAAGCATAGTAAACAACGTATTCAGTGGTACATACATTTATTTGAAAGTCTCAACGCTATGTCATTTTTAGTACAGCAACTCAATAGTGCGTATTTTATTAGGTGAGCGGCATCTAGCGTGGAATGGCGGAACTACAATACTGTTTATTTTCTATGGATACATAATATTATACTCAACACACAGTTTGAAATATCTTCGTCGCCCATCTCGTTGTCTCAGTGCCTGGCTGTTACTCAGTTCACACGCAGGTTTGCGCGGCTTCCCCTGGCGGCGAGTGAGCAAGGCATCTTGCCGTTCTTCTCTCTCGCGCCATAATATGATCCGAAGAGGCGCGAAGGGCCATTGCAGCACGTGCTGCTCCTCCAGAATTAAATGAGTTATGACTTCCATAAGGTCTCCTCACTATTGGACGCAAGTTGGACGCAGTATTGGACGCAGGTATTACTAAGGCTCATGGGTGATAGTAACCCCTGGGAATTACACTGGGAGATCACTACCAAGCTATTTCTAATTTATTTTGTTTAGTTAATTGTGTAACATAATATGTGATCTGTTCTTTTTTAAAAAACAAATATCCTGTTTATTTTTTTGCTATTTTTTCCCAGGATAGAGATATTTTCTGAACAAGTGGCAAATTGTATAAAAAATAACCTTCAGTACGTATTATTTATAATCTATGTTGAACAAGAAGTTATCATTTACATTTTATTACCCATAGAACAACACGGGTCACCAGCGGATCTGAAGGAACTTCCTATCCCCTCGCCCTACCGCGGGCATTTCCCTCTGTCAAAGTACAAGTCCACGCGGACCTATCCATACCATAAAACTAGTCTCAACTGCACTGCTCACTAGACTAAATTTGGTAGCGCGGCTGTCAACGTGCTACAAAAATGTCGAATTGTCATTTTTTGCTACGAAAAGAGATCTGCCACATCAAATTTGCAAAAAGACAGCTTCACCTTTCATATACCTATTATAAGTAATTTTTCATCACATTATTGCTATTAACTTCTTTCCAAACTTAAAAAAATTATAATAATATTGTTCACGTTGTTTCAGGTTTGTTTGCCAACAAAGGCCGCCTGCTCCGAGTTCGTATCACATCATTTTATGTCACTGAGCGACATTGCTATAATTTATCTAAATATTTATTTAATTTTTTATATACAAATAATAATTGTAGATATTGCAGACTTAATGACTTAAGGCATTCTCTCTCAGTCAACCATTTGGCTAGAGGTACAATGTAGTACAGCAAAAATTAAATAATAATAATAAAACAATATATATATATATATATATATATATATATATATATATATATATATATATATATATATACAGGGTGTTAGTGTAAACACCGTTGTCCACCAAACCAGTGGTTTGGTTTCACTTATAGAAAGTAATTTCAATGAAAAATAACAACATTTTTTTTAGTCAAATCTCAATTTTTTTCTTACAATTATTTCACCCTAGGCAAGTAGGGATATACATACAGAATTCACAACAAAAAACTCAACATATCGTAGGTAGCGGCAGCGATTCGCGGTCAAGGCCAATGTCACTGTGTCAGTGTGTCAGTCACCTTCGCTGCGTCGGTACGGAATGTACGTGTTAATTTGATTTAAAATCGCGCCGCGCAGTGCCGACATTCTACGTCGCTTTAGGTTGTAGTTTTGGTGCGAGTGTATTTAATTTCTAATTATTTCCTACATAAAAGTGCAGTGGAAATGTGCCTCTTCGTTCACTGAGAAACCTCTACTACCAACATGATGGTGCCCCCGCACATTTTCAGCTGCAAATCAGGGCTATGCTGGTTGAGGAGATTCCTGGGCGATGAACCGACCTTACCCCGCTGGACTACTATCTTTGGGGAGAAGTGAAGCGCCGAGTGTATGCAACTAAGTTCCGTAAAACGTCCGAACTCAAAAGGCGAATTCTTAGTGTATGTAGAGAAATGACACTGTTGTGCTTCTAGCTTTTACGTTTAATGTAAAAGCTGATCAAAATGGAATTCATTTACGAGGATTTTATTTAGTAGGTAAGTGTAAATAACCAATCAATCAGGCTACACACCAAGCTGTACAAATCCTTTGTCTTGGCCTCGCTTTGTATGATCTTTCCGTACAATGAACGGTCAGCTTATGCTTCAAATGCCCTTTGCGTTCCAGGGTCGCGGTACGGTATACGGTAAATACGCCGAAAATCCTACCTAATGATTTACTATTTACTATTATTAATGTTTAATTTTCTTTGTTGTTAAATCTAACTTACATTAATTTGGACTCTTCACGCAACACAAATGGTAGGAATTTTTATCTGTCCTAAGCAAGTGTGAAAGTATGAAGGAAAAGTTTCATGATAGGTTATGTGTACCATTGTGTTTATATTGAAATGTTGTGTAGGTAGCAAGGGCGGGCGGTGATCTTTATAGTGATTACGTCACTCTAGCGCATTGGGTATCCATGAATTTACGGACGGTGTCCAGAAACTTTTTTAATTTTATAAAAGAAAATAGCGTTTTTTAAAAAAAAAATCGGATAAATATTTTTATATTAAAGCCAACCACCTATGGTTTCAGTGACAACGGTGTTTACACTTACACACTGTATATATATATGTACGCCCCCTCCGTAATACCGTTACCGTTACAATCTATTAGAGTTCACTGCTGAACATAAGCCTTCCCTATAGATTGCCTCATAGTGAGGATATTTGCCATAGTTGCCACGCTTGGCAAGCGGGTTTGCAACCGCAGTTTTCTATTTTTGCCATTAAGAAGAGAGCTGCTGCTCATCTAATTTATTTGTCTCTGTCGCATCTTACGACACCCATGAATGATATGGGGCTGTGGTATTCTAACACCGCCACTGCACGGTAAATAAATATCCAACGCATTTAATGATTACCTCTGTCCTCAGCCGCCGGCATCACAAACAATCAAGTGCTCAGCCACGTATCGCTGCAAGTGATCACCAACGCGGTCTGCCAGCGCTCATTCGGCGGCTCGACCGTGATCGCATCCACGCTGTGCACCAGCGGCTCCGGGGGCAAGAGCACGTGCAGCGGAGACTCCGGCGGCCCGCTCACGATCAACGACGGCGGACAGCGCGTGCTCGTGAGTCTCTTCTCTTCTGTTTTTGAACTGAACATTTCTATATCTATTAGAACCGTTATTGTAGGTGGTAGAGCCATGCTGCAGTTATATTAGTAGTGTTACAAGCTTAAGGTTCGTGACAATAAAACTACCGATAGAATTACCAAAATTAACTCTTTAATTCACTTTACACTAATTAAAACATAAAACACTTATAATTAACCACACTGATTCACTTTATTTCGCTCCGAAGCTGAATGCAATACTGGCCCGATCGCGGCATGCAGCGGATTTAAATACACTTTTACGCCGAAACATCCAGAATATTCCCGTAGATACGAGCGCCGACCGACCACACGCAGAAAGTTCGAGTGTGAGGCTTCTAGAAAGCATAGCTTCAATTCAATACTAGATGGCGCTGTTGGTTAAAAGATTAGTCATATCATTTTCTGAAAAGCTCTCCTCGCTCTGTTATCCGACACTAGATAGCGCTAGTACCAAACGTCAACTTAGGCGCGCAACACTGCCCCCTCCTAAGACATGCTCGTCCCGAGCATTATCGGCCCCATAATAACGCGCCAGGCGATCCCCTTACGCCTTTCTGTATCCGGTGGGTTACATCTTTGATCCTGGTCACAATCCGGTACGGGCCGTCCCATTTAGCTTGAAGCTTAGGAGATTTCCCTTTGCTGCGGACTGGATTGTGCAACCACACTAGTGAACCTTCGTCGAACCCTTTATTGTTCATTTTGCGGTCATACCGGGTTTTCATCTTTTCAGACATTTTCTGGCCCGATTTTCTGACGTGCATTTCATGTCATTCATATTGTTCCGCAAGTCATTTGCATAATCGGTTATACTGCGTGGGGCATCAGGTGGTATTCCGGTGACCAGGTCTGCAGGCAGCCGTAATTCTCTTCCAAAGTTTGCGAAAGCTGGTGTCACTGCTGTATTTTCGTGAATAGCGCTTCGATATGACAACGAAAACTGTTGTATATGCTTGTCCCAATCTCGTTGCCGATTGCCGTTGACGGTCTACAACTTTTGCTAGGTATCTCTCCAATGTCTGATTAAATCGTTCTACCATTCCATCAGATAGCGGGTGATAAGAAGTTGTTCTTGTTTTATGAGTACCCATAACTTGGCAAGTTTCCTGGAATATATGAGCCTCAAAATTCCTTCCTTGATTGTTGTGAATCTCTAAAGGTACTCCAAAACGACAGAAGACTTCATGAACTAGTTTATCCGCAACTGTTGAAGCTTCTTGATTTGAAATGGCAAAGACTTCTGGCCACTTAGTGAAGTAATCCATCACAACCATGAAATATTTGTTACCGCTTTCACTCTCCGAAAACGGCCCCGCCACGTCAATGGTCTCTGCCATGGTGCACCAACATTGTACAACTTCAATGCACCCCTACTACGAGTCTGAGGTCCCTTTATAGCCGCACAACTTGCACATTTGCGACACCAGTCCTCGACATCGTTTCGACAGTGGACCCAGTAAAACCGTTCTCGGATATTCAGTAGAGTTCGTTTAACTCCCAGATGGCCTCCTAAACAATCATTATGGTACAGCTGTAGAACATCCGGTACTTTTACTTTAGGGACAACCATTTGCAAATGACAGCTGTCTCCTCGAAAATTTTCCCATTTACGGCACAGAACTCCATCCTGAAGCAGCAAGCTGTCCCATTGGGCCCAATAGCTTTTAGTGCTCGAACTCATCGCTGAGACGTCGCTCCACTTGGGCTTGGGAGCACTAGCCTTCATCCAATCCAGAATCGGCTTGATGTCCGGATCTTCCTGCTGTGCATGTTGTAAGCTGTCCTTCCACTTGTTGCTGAGGTGGTCTATCCTGAGCATTCTCACGGATACCACTTCCTTACTCTCTTGCCTAGTACTGTTCTCGCAATCATCAGGATGAGGTCTTCTTGACAATGCATCTGTATTCCTGCTGCTGCTGGGCGGTGATATTAGCCGCACTTCCCTTCTGAGATCGTTCACCTTCCCTTTCTGGGGTTCGCTAAGGGCAGCTGCATCGAAGATGGCTACTTTCGCCACAGTCATAGCACTTAGGGCTGTAATCTTTATTATAGTCGCGAACTGTAAATGCCACAACCTCCCTAGCGTGAGGGGAACGATGATCCTGCCGCCACCAGGCGGTGCCGGTAGCTGCACTACTCTCTCGAGATCGATCAACTTTCCTTTCTACGGTTCGCTTAGGGCAGCTGGGTCGAAGATGGCCCTTTTCCCCACAGCCATAGCACCTAAGGCTGTATTCATTATTGCGGTCGCGAACTGTTGTAGCTGCTTCAACCTTCCTGACGCGATGGGAACGAAGATCCTGTCGCACGGCTTCCACCTCCAGTGCATGGGCTCAGGCGTTCTTAAGCGTCTCATGGTGCTCGAGCCTCACAGCAGCTCTGACTTCAAGGTCGCGGATGCCGTCGATAAATCTTTGCACCAGGTTCCCTTCAATGAGCGCAGGTACAACTGGTATGCTTTCCGAACCATCTTCTCCACCTCAAGGGCCCACTGCTGCAGGTTTTCGTTGCTGCGTTGCACGCGATCTCTAAGCTGCGCACAAAAGACGTGTTCCAGATGAGCGTCGCCATATCTCGCCTCCAATGCCCCAAGGAGCTGCTCGTAGTTCACTTTCTTACCGAGAGCTTCTAACACAGTTAAGGCTTGGTCGCGCAGGCCTAAGGTGAGTGCAGTCATGGCCTGACTTTTACTCCAGCTATTCGCCTCCATGTCAGCCTCGAACTGGATTTTGTAGGATGACCAGGAAAAAGTCCCGTCGAACAGCGGCACTTTGAATGCACATACTGAAGGTGTTGTACTTGCCACGGGGGCTGTTATTCCATCCCCAAGTTTGAGGTCGTTCAGCGTTTTCTTCATTTCAGCCATCACTTTGTGCAATTGGTCAATTCGGATCTCAGCTTTCGACAGGCGTTTGTCATACTGAGCAACCTTATCCTTTAACTCCCTTATCTCTTTCCCGAAGATAGCGTGAAGGTCTTTCATGAGAAGCATCTGCTCTTCCTTATCACGTTTGACCTGCTCTTCTAAGCGACGGGTCCGTTCCTCTTGTCCACCCCGCAGCTGTTCTTCCAATCGGCGTGCCTTTTCCTCCTGTCGGCGGGCCTGTTCCTCCTGTCAGCGGGCCTGTTCCTCATGTCGGGGAGCCTATTCCTGCAGCAGCATCGTGAGTGCACCTAAGTCAGGTGCTGCAGGTGTAGGAGCTGCTGACGGGCCAGCCTCCGTGGCTGTCAATTGGCCCCCCGACATCTGGGTCGTTGCACCACCAACTCGCGTCTGGTCCATCTCCTGCTGGCGTCGACTTCGATTACGGACACCCTCCGTGTCGTCCTTCGGTAAAATCGGCATGATTTTATCCCACTTCTGACAACAATTGTTACGAGCTTAGGGTTCGTGACAATAAAAACTGCCGATTGAATTACCAAAATTAACACTTTATTTCACTTTACACTAATTAAAACTTAAAACACTAATAATTAACCACACTGATTCACTTTTCACTCCGAAGCTTCGCTTGTCTCGCCAAATGCAATACTGGCCCGATCGCGGCATGCAGCATATTTAACGCCGAACACTTTTACGCTGAAACATCTAGAATATTCCCGTAGATACGGGCGCCGACCGACCAGACGCAGAAAGTTCGTTTGTGAGGCTTCTAGAAAGCATAGTTCTTCAATTCGACACTAGATGCCGCTGTTGGTTAAAAGATTAGTCATGTCATTTTCTGGAAAACTCTCCTCGCTCTGTTATCCGACACTAGATGGCGATAGTACCAGACGTCAACTTATGCGCGCAACAGTAGTATAGTTGTAGCACAAATGGGTCGGCTTGACCGGGGAAGGACCTCGCTCTCACAGAATACCAGCGTGAAATGATAGCATGATGCTGCTGTGTTTCTTATGGTGAGTATAGAGAACCGGATACTCTTTTTACTGGAAATGTGGCATTCCATCTTAGTCCTCACGGGTGACAACGCATCTGCATTTTGATTCGTAATCAAAGATAAATGTAGATGTCTATGGACCACAGCAACCACTTACCATCAGGTGAACTGTGTGCTCGTTCGTCGTGTTATCACCCTATCCTATAAAAAAAACCGTTGTTATTCTGAACTTGACGAAACGAAAAAGCGACACTGAAAATAAACAAACACGGACATCTTTAGAGTTTGCCCCGCGAGAGAATTAGATAGAATATAGTAAATAGTGTTTTCTATTATCTCGGTCTCCCCTTTGTGCAGTGCTTAGAACATGGTTAATATAACTAACTTATCACTGTTAAATTGTTTATTTTAATGGTTAAAATTTATGATAAAAATAAATTTATTAAATAACTAAAATTAACCCTATTGAATAAAATTATTATATCCAAATCCACAATCTCATATCTTACCGATTTATATTAAATTAGTCGTATGTTTCTAAAAATTAATTTTATTAATTAAAAATTAAATGTGTTGAAGTGTAATCTAGCGTCTAATTTAGGTACCAGTTTGACAGTAAATCAATTTTTGTTCGATAAAATGATTTTACCGATCAAGTGCAGTGCATTTACTGCGCCATTGCTATTATAAAGCAATTTTACTCGAAAAAAAAATCTTTTGATATATTTCACTAAAATTATAAATTTGGAGTATGCATAATATTTTGTAATGTAATATATTATGTAAAATAAATTAATGTAAAATAATTTTTAAACTTGGTAACAATAGTACTGTACTGTAAAGCTATTGCATAGCATTTTTTATCAACTTATGCAATTATAATTATTTATTTATTTTATTTATGCAGTTAAGTCTTTGATATTAAATCAAGTTACACTTTTTGAGCGTGGTGACCGATAAGAAAACAATTTTTTTTCTCTTATTGAATAAATGAGAAGTTAATATTGTTTATAATATTTTTAATATCTTACAATACATTTTAGTTATTCAGGAATTTTTATCATTAAGTTAGCAGCTAGTGTACACGCACACAAACACCGTGCCGAAGTCTGCCGAAATAAAACGACG